GTAATGACCCCCCATGTGCAGAGGGAGGAGCCTCATTATGAATAATTAATATGTACTCTCCCAGTCAGAGAGACGGGGCTCGTCATGGGGCATTATATGTCACGCCAGCTGTCAATCAATTGACATCCATTAATGTACGACTCCCACCCGGGTCGGCAGTCTCTAGGGGGAAGATGTGGGGATTTTGAGGGATGGAGATGCAGCACAGAGAGCAAACAGTAGGGTTCCTAGTAGTCATGAGCAGGGGATGCTGTATTAGTCCCATATTTGGGCATAGATTGCATTTGACACCATATTAGATCATCCCATACAGCCCTGACAATGACTACCGGGTCGTTGTCAGGGCAGGGCAAGGTCAATCTACCAATGTTGGGTTACTGATCAGTGATGTAATACCATACCCTCAGCATAGACCTAGAATTACATAATGGTCACAATTCTACCCTATGGCCCAAAGCCAAATCAGATAAAGCTCTGCTATGGTCTATTGATAAAGGACATCCAATAACACAGAAATACAGCAGAGCCCTGGGCCCGTATTCATAAAGCATCTCAGAATTAGAGTGCTGATCTAGGATCAGGTCCCCACTGTCCATGTCATCGTATTTGTTTATTACTGAAAAAGCCCAAACTATCCCAGATCAGCACTGCTCCTCACCTCTCCCTTCTTGACGGTCATGGACTGGCGTCTGGGCGTGGTCTCCTCGTTGATGCTGGACAGGAAGTTCTGGGAGATGCGGAGGGCGTCCTGGAGCAGGGGGTGGTCCGGGTGGCTGGAGGGCGTGTGCTTCAGCAGGTCCTACAGGCACACACACATACACAGAGTTACTGTGTGTTACAGTATTGGGATTGGCAATAAAAACAGAGACTGTCTTTAAACATCCTGAGGTGTGAGGTTCAAAACAAAAGGCTGCCTTATACTTACATGCAGTACCAGGGTGCTACGGGTCACTCTGTCCACTGGTTTGTACAGGAGAGCTTTGGGAGAGAAAGGAGAGACAGCCCCTCCAACTAGGTCAGAGCCTTGTCTATTTTTCTGTGGCAGTGATTTAGTCTGCATCCCAAATGGTAGCTTATTCCCTATGTAGTGCACTACTTTTGACCAGAGTAGTCAGAAGTATTGGACTATACAGTATAGGGTGCCATTTCAGACTGAAGCTACATGCTCAGTAATACTGTTGGCTACTTACTCTCCAGAGAGTTCTTGGCTGACTGATCCTTCAAGTCCTTGGTGCTCCTCACCTTGAGGTTCTGTAGGGACACAGAATGAGTGAACAGTGGACAACATTACACAGAGGAAAACCTGAAGCTGATAAACATACAACCAATGTGGTGCTGGCAAATGATAATAATAGCCTGGCCCCTTGGCTTGATGTAGTGCTTCATGTCTTAGAGTCTGTCCCAAATTGCACAGTATTCCCTATATACAGTACATGTAGTGCACTACTTTTGGTCAGAGCCCTGTGGCCCTGGTCAAAAGTAGTACACTATAAATGGAATAGGGTGCCATTTCGGACGTAGAGAGCCCAGCAGCAATGAGACAGACACACTCACCTCAGACTAACTCCTAATGCAACTCATCCTGCACCCAATAAGCCATCATCAGCATTGTTTCCACCGTCACATTCAGATGGCAGAGAGACATGCATCATTACATATCCCATTAAGAACACTGAATGATTGATTCTCTGCCTCAAATCCAAGCACCATCCTTAAAGGGATACTTCAGGATTTTGGCAATGAGGCCCTTTATCTCCTTCCCCAGAGTCAGATGAACTTGTGGATAAAGCAGATACCATAGGCGCTAATGCTACTTAGCATTGGCTCGCGAAACAAACCTTTAATTTCCTTCATACTGGACACGGAGACATAAAAATGGTATCCATGAGTTCATCTGACTCTGGGGAAGTATATAAAGGGCCTCATTGCCAAAATCCCAAAGTATCCCTTTAATGTTCACCGTTGGCTTTGGCAGAAGATTTTACATACCAGCGATCGTGACTACACAGACTTCAGTCCAAAATATTTCTCCAAAATAAGCCCTTAAAAAAACTGCTAATCAAAAGAACTTAGTGAAATTGAGATTTGATTATTTAACACATTCACACCTGTAGCCTGAAAAGCAATGAAGCGTTTCACCAAGTGTAACCCCAGCTTCGTACATCATCGTCTAAACTGTTTCTCCTTGCGCTGGCATTATGCTTCTCTGTTCAAGTAATTACACTTCCTATCTGAGAGAGACGTTCTTCCACTAGCATGGCTGGGCCTTCAGGCTACTATAAAGCTCTGTTTTGGGGATAAATTAATATATTAGCCTGTCATGGTTCATCTGCAGCTCAGCTGGTAGAGCACGGCGCTACCAGCTGGCGCTTGTAACGCCAAGGTAGTGGGTTCGATCCCCGGGACCACCCATACACCCCAAAAAAAATATTTATGCACGCATGACTGTAAGTCGCTTTGGATAAAAGCGTCTGCTAAATGGCATATTATTATTATTATTAGGTAAGATGGAGGGAGGGCATTTCCCTACTCCAGGGTTTCTAACACTGGCCGCCGGGGGCAACCAGAAACCAACCAAAAACCCAAGAAAATATTACCCACCACCACACCCCCACCCTCTGCATTGGTTCCACATCACTGCAGAACACACAGATCGCAGACACACAGGCAGGCAGGCAGGCAAAACAGTACAATAATAATACAAGTCAAGTGTGTTTAATGGCAATCAGAGGCGTCATGCCCATAGAGGGCACAATGTCACATGCCCCCTCAGATTTGATTTGATTTTAGCTGCCGGTGATGGGCAGGACTCGCAGGAGGTATATTTGTAAAATAATTTGTTCAAGCTATGTAGCCTACTGATTCCTGGTTGATGAATAAATAAAATGAAAATGTTTTGTTGTTTCTCTGTAGTACTAGCCACGTAGCAATTTTATGAAGTTGGCTTTAGCAAGCCAGCTAGATAGGTTCCCAATCTCCCAACTAGCTACCAAGCCATTTCAGGTTAGAGTAGCTTATCTAACTATCTTAGCTGGCATGCCTGCTGGCAAGGTTGCTAGACTTTAGAAAAGCAAGCAATTACTAAATGTACTGAATAAGACTCACATTCCTTTCCATCTTTTACCCAGATTTTAGCAGAGATGCAGAGAATCATATTTAGGGTGCAGTTGTACTAAAAGGCATAAAAGTTATTCAAGAATCAATGTGCATCATTAATCAAAATGACAATTGAACAGGTAACGTGGTATGCTTAGATAACCTATGCAGAAAAATAGACATTACTATGATTATGACTCTAGATTGCAGGAAAATGCTGTTTCAGGTGTTTGAAAAATGCTAAATTCTCCACCGTCCATCTATCTATCCACACATACTTCATGCTCCCTCTAAAATAATGGGTTCATGATGCCCCTGATGGCAATGATTGTGAAATTGTGTGGGTGGTGGCGGTGAAGGGGTTTGTGGGTAAAACACATAGCCTAAAGCTGTTGAGTTTGATACCCCACTGTCCTCTTTACACGAGTAGATGTGAAATGTTCTCCCAACGATTTTCCCTGTGTGCTTAATGGCCCACTTTCACAGTCTCCAACTGTCCTCTCTGTCTGTCTCTCTACGCAGTGTGGCAGAGTGACCTGGGGCTGGGCCACAAAGCCGCTTCGTAAGAGCTGGAGAAAGTGCTACGTTCCTCTCAGGAGGAGAGCGCTTGAAGAGAAGTAGAAAATCTATTTTCAAACTGTCACTTTGAGGATGTGGGAGGCTGAGTGTGATCGTATAATGTTAGTGGAGGGATGTTTCTTCCTTCCCACCCATATCCCATCACCCCATTTCCAAAACAAGAGGTGTACCCCCCTAGCCCCCATTGTCAAGATGAAAGGACAAAACCCATCCAGACCAGTAGTCATTACCTCCTCCCTCCCATACCTCCCCCTCTCCTCTCCTCACTCCCTCCCTCCCCCTCCCTCCTATACCTCTTGTCTCCTCTCCTCTCCCTCTCCCTCTCGCTACCTCCCTCCCTCCTTCCCTCACCTCCCTGTCTCCTCTCCTACCATACCTCCCCGTCTCCTCTCCTCTCCTCTCTCCCTCCCACCCTCCCCGTCCCCTCCCTCCTATACTTCCCCATCTCCTCCCCTCCCTCCCTCCCCATCTCCCTCCCATACCTCCCCATCTACCTCCGTGCCGGTTTCCATTACCTCAGAGATTTCAGCGAATTGCGTGTTGGCCTGGCAGCACTTCTCCGCCGTTTCCACGGCAACCTCATAGTTGTCCACAAAGGCCCGGTAAACTCCCAGCTGGCTGGCCTGTCGAACGGACGGGGAGGGTGCGAGAGAGGACAAAATACAAAAGTCACATTAAAACACAGTTACCACATTCCATAGCCCATATTTACCAAAGTAGGCCTTCTGTTTGCATTGCTGTTTTGGGGGAAAGAAGGACATGTTGGCATAATCACAACATGAGAAATGACAGCTACAACCCAACAACAGAGTTCACCATAATGAGTGGAGAAAAAACAAGTGTTTTGGACACAGTTCGACAGACGGGGCAATGTCATCATCGCCACAGGATGGCCGTGGCACTGTCCCGGCCTACGGCTGTTGCCATGGTAGTGGCGGAGTGGAGGTCTACGCTGGGGTGAGTAATGAGCGTCCGGGGTAACAGTTGCTGTAAAAACACATTTGAAAATCTCATTCAGCCGTCTCCTTGAAACCCTGCCCGCCAGTAACACTATCCATCTCCTTAGCACTCAACTGCCCAATCCATTCTCCTGAATACAAGCCTGACAGCAGTGGATGAAGAGGGGGGTAGAGTGTGTGATGGTGAGAGAGGGGGCAACTGAGGCAAACGCAGAGATGTTTCACACACACAACACACGCACGCACGAACGAACGAACACACGCCCGCACGAACACACACACACACACACAGCGCCAAGGTAGCTTAGTGTACCCCTGGAGAACAGCCTACAAGAACCCTGTGCACAGGACACAATATGCTTCTCTAATTCACCTTAGCTCAGGTCCATCTGCACCTGCTCATGAATATTTCCAGTGCATTGTATGTAGATGACAGATAGCGGGCTGCCAGTGGCTGCCAAATCCTGTTCCTGAAAACCTTCTCCTCTCTCTACTTTCTAGCATCACCTATGAGCTCATCCCGCTCCCACACATTATCATCCTGGTGTGACCCCTGACCTTTACAGCATTTCCTGTCCCCTGGTGTCACGCTGAGACAATCGATTTTGGCCCGCAGCGAAAGAAACCCACGTTTTTTCAGGAGCTGCTAGAAGTCGAGGCGTTAAGCAATTTTCACCCACCAGGCAATCCTATCTCCACTGCGTCTGAGTCCTGCCCCGGGCCAGACTAAATCTGCACCACAGTGGACAGGAATTCAGAGCGTGACAATCCCACTATGGGCGGGGAGGAGCCGGAATGGCAGTAATAGAGCTGCAGACAAGGAGCAGTTGGAGCCGTTCGGCACACACAGTTGCTGGCTGGATGTATGGTGACGTAAGACGATGAGAGTAACCGCATGGTCGAGCACAGACTGGGAGGAAGAAGTCATCAACAGCACAAGAATGTACTCATAGCACGTATGTCGTGTATATTTATTTTTATTTATTTATTTTTTGTCATTTAGCAGACGCTCTTATCCAGAGCGACTTACAGGAGCAATTAGGGTTAAGTGCCTTGCTCAAGGGCACATCGACAGATTTTTCACCTAGTCGGCTCGGGGATTAGAACCAGCGACCTTTCGGTTACTGGCACAATGCTCTTAACCACTAAGCTACCTGCCTATACTTTGTGTGTAAAGATGCTATTACTCTTGAAATTCACCATTCATATGCACCTATCCTAGACAAAGAACATGGCAGTCTCCATGGTGTATTCATAGACCTATATGAGAAACAGCAGACAGTGACTGTACGATTAGAGGAAAACAGTACAGTGTATTATTTAGCACCATTTTGGGGCTTTAAAGGAGTGTGAGAACACCTCTCTCTTGACACCCGCTCTCATAACCTGTCATTAACCACACGCCTGCTTTCCATTTTTTCAGTTTTTTTCTTCCCTTCTTTCTGGTAGAGATGTGCTGTTACTTTTCCTCCGGTTGCCTGTCTGCTACACAGAGACTTCAGAGACTTCACAGACAGGGGGAGACAGCTCTATCAGAGAGACTCAGCCTAAATCTGCTGGCTGCTCCCCTCATCCACTCTCCTCCCTCCTCTCCTCTCTTCTCATCCCTCTCTCGCTCCCCTCCTCCACCCTAAATGGCTGTCATGTAGGGAGACTTTTCCTGCAGTGTCGGCATCTTCTGCCCCTGACGTCTGGCGAGAGGAATTGGGGGAAATATGTATTTTGGTTTGAGGGAGAGAAAGAGATTGATAGAGAGAGAGAGAGAAAGAAAGAAAACAGACAGACAGACATAAAGAAAGAGTTCGAGAGAGGAAGAACTAACGGACTGCTCCTCTATTGTAGCCTACAACCCGCAAATCCAAATTGCTCCTCTTTCAAAGCTTGTCTGCTGGGAGACACAAAACGCAGCCATTGATGCCACTGCTTCCCACATAGCAGACACAGACAAGAGAAAGATGGAGGAGAAAAAACGAACAATGAATAAATAAAATGCGGAAAAGGATTCCGACGTGTGCCGCCCTGACAGTATAACAGACAAATTAAATAGTCATTCTTCAGGCCTCCGGGGAGAGCGGCTTTGTGAAGTTAATAGGAGGGAAAGAAATCCCCCATCGCTCAGTGTATGGAACTATTTATAGGCTGCTTCATAGAGACACAAAGCACACAGTGTAGCATTAGTCTCAGCTCCCTGGGTAGAAAAGACAGCATTGTGACACTCTCCTTCTTCATGTGCACTGTCCTCTTACACACAGTACTCATGACAGGCTACACTCAGGCTCTTCTGCAGTGACTGCATGAGCATTAGGGGGATAAACAAGTGGTTCATTCGGGGTTAATTGACACGTTGTGAACATGATGAAATGGGCCCAGTCAGTACGGGTTTGGCTCTGGCCTCCGTGGCAGAAGCTCTCGGGTCAGGAGGAGAGGGGGGAGCAGGTCTATTCCATCTGTCCCTAAAATAAGTTGCACCTCATGATGTTGATCAACGTGATTTGATTTAGCTTTTTTATCATACATTTTGATCAGCTCTGACATTTGAAGGCTTCCATTCAGAGTACGGATGCTGCTGTGAGCTGTGACACGGAGCCACAAAGAAACACAGGCAGACTGTGTAATGCATAAGGGTCCTGTGTCATTCTGAATGAGGCTCATGATGTCATGTTGCCGTGCAGCCAGGTCCAGGGAGGGAGTCCTCTGTCATCCAGAGTCAGGCGCCAGGCTCCTACAGACACAGGGCAGGGGCGCACCCCAGGGATCTGGCTTATGACCTCACCTGTTTCTGGAAGAGGTCCCCCACGCGCTGGTGGTGGCTCCACTGCTGCACCCGGGGGAGCAGGCCATCGTAGAACTCCTTGTGGACCTCGTAGAGCTCAGGCACTTTGAAGAAGATGGTCTCAATCTGGGGGATGGTCAGCACCGGCTGGGACGTGGTGGCTGCTGCCTTCAGAGGCTTCATAGGCTGAGATAACAGGAGAGAGAGAGAGAGAGAGGAGAGAGAGAGAGAGGAGAGAGAGAGAGAGAGAGAGAGAGAGACAGAGAGAGAGAGAGAGAGAGACAGAGAGACAGAGAGAGAGAGAGAGAGAGAGACATAGAGAGAGAGAGAGTTTGTACTGTGTGTGTACGTGTATGTGATACATAGTGCATTCATGGCAAGTCCTGTGTGTATGTTCCAGCCTCTCACCAGTAGCAGTGCCTCCAGGTGGCTGAGGTAGGTCTCCTCGCTGGCTAGGATCCCAGACAGAACCCACTTCCTCATCTCCAGGCCTTTCTCTAGGTCCAACTCTGTCTGCAACAAACACATTGGAAACAACAATGAAAAAAGGGCACACACAAGTACTGTACAGACAATGCAAACAAAGCATGACCTTTAGTTTGAGTCTGAATGACAACAAGGTAGTGGGTAGAAAGAGGAGATATACAGTGCCTTCAGAAAGTATTCATACCCCTTGATTATTCCAATTTTTTTGTGTTACAGCCTGAATTCAAAATGTATTAAAAAATAATAATAATCTCACCCATCTACACACAATACCTCATAACGACAAAGTGAAAACATGTTTTTAGAAATGCTTGCAAATTTATTGAAAATGAAATACAGAAATATCTAATTTACAAAAGTTAGAATCACATTTGGCAGTGATTACAGTCTTTCTGGGTAAGTCTCTAAGAGCATTGCACACCTGGATTATACAATATTTGCCCATTATTATTTTCATAATTCTTCGAGCTCTGTCAAATTGGTTGTTGATCATTGCTAAAAAACATTTCCAAGTCTTGCCATAGATTTTCAAGCAGATTTAAGTCAGAACTGTAACTCGGCCACTCAGGAACATTCACTGTCTTCTTGGTAAGCAACTCCAGTGTAGATTTGGCCTTGTGTTTTAGGTTATTGTGCTGCTGAAAGGTGAATTAATCTCTCAGTGTCTGGTGGAAAGCAGACTGAACCAGGTTTTCCTCTAGGATTTTGCCTGTGCTTAGCTCCATATGGAGAGTTGTACTCAGTAATGTGTTGTATTGGATTTGACCCAAACATAACACTTTGTATTTAGGACAAAAAGTTAATTGCTATGTCACATTTTTTGCAGTATTACTTTAGTGCCTTGTTGCAAACAGGATGCATGTTTTGGAATATTTGTATTATGTACAGGCTTCCTTCTTTTCACTCTGTCAATTAGGTTAGTATTGTGGAGTAACTACAATGTTGTTGATCCATCTTCAGTTTTCTCCTATCACAGCCATTAAACTCTGTTTTAAAGTCACCATTGGCATCATGGTGAAATCCCTGAGAGGTTTGCTTCCTCTCCAGCAACTGAGTTAGGAAGGACGCCTGTATCTTTGTAGTGACTGGGTGTATTGATACACCATCCAAAGTGTAATTAATAACTTCACCATGCTCAAAGGAATATTCAGTGTCTGCCAACAGTGTCTGCCCTTCTTTGCAAGGCATTGTAAAACCTCCCTGGTCTTTGTGGTTGAATCTGTATTTGAAATTCACTGCTTGACTGAGGGACCGTACAGATTGTATGTGTGGGGTACAGAGATGAGGTAGTCATTCAAAAATCATGTTAAACCCTATTATTGCACACAGAGCGAGTCCATGCAACTTATTATGGGATTTGTTAAGCACATTTTTACTCCTGAACGTATTTAGGCTTGCCATAAACAAAGTGGTTGAATACTTACTGACTCAAGACATTTCAGCTTTAAAAAATGTATTAATTTGTAAACATTTTGAAGAACATAATTCCACTTTGACATTGTAGGGTATATTTTATTTATTCAGGCTGTAACACAACAAAATGTGGAAAAGGTAATGGGGTGTGATTACTTTCTGAAGGCACTGTTGTTAATAAATGCTGGGGTCTTAAATACAGGTAGCCTAGTAGTTAAGAGCATTGGGCCAGTAACCGAAAGGTCGCTGGTTTGAATCCCCGAGCCGACTAGGTGAAAAATCTGTCGATGTGCCCTTGAGCAAGGCACTTAACCCTAATTGCTCCTATAAGTCGCTCTGGATAAGAGCGTCTGCTAAATGACTAAAATGTAAATGACCACAGCTTTGTTTTTAAAGAAGCCATTGTTCTCGCATTCTTCCAGGACATCCAAACCTCACTAGATAGTAACAACATTCAACATGCGGCCTATGAAAAATCTTTGGGCCGTCTTGCCTAACTCTGGCAGTCAGTAGTTCCCATGGGATATAGGTTGGTCTCTTAAAATGGCCTAGGCAGAGGACAGGCATGGCAGGAGGCGTAGCTAACCCTCAGGCTACAGGACAGAGGAGAGGAGGAGAGGAGAGACAGAGAGCAGGGGAGAGTAGAGCAGGCCATGGCTGGGCCAGGTAGGCAGGCCCTTTCCTGGGTCTGGGATATCCAACCCATACGTCTGGTTCACTAAACTGAACTAAAGCTATCTGTATCCAGCTATTTCAGAGCACAACCTGGGGCTCCTTGGAAAAAGAGATACTGAGAGTGGTGGGAGGGAGAGGTAAGCTACAATAGAGAGGGATCTGACTACTCCAGTAATAGGAGTCTATGAGGAGAATGTACTTTAGTCTCAGACAGGATGAGGGCAAAACACAATGCTCCCTCAGGTATGGGACTTTTCTCTGTGTATGTGTGTGTGTGTGTGTGTGTGTGTGTGTGAGAGAGAGTGAGTGAGTGAGAAATTATTTATTTACAAATGCCATAGGATAAATAACATGTCCCCACATGCAGAAATGCAGGCTGAAATTAATTACAGAATGAGAGCATATTCTGTGTGTGTGTGTGTGTTTTTAATGGGGGGTAAATGAGCCTAACACTCCTGTTTCCATGGCCACTGTACAGGTAGTGGAAGCAGCAGATGTCAGTAAGAGTCTCAGCGGAACTACAGGGGTCCCGACTCACTGATGGAATCCATTACCCAGAGGTCTGTGCTGTGGACTCCATTACCCATATGTCTGTGCTGTGCTTGGCTCTGCTTCTTGGTTCTTATACAACAAGCCATTTCTGTTAGAAGAGAAGATAATAATGAAGCCTTTTAAGTGACAACAGTGTGTACGCTTTGGATCAGCTACATGCCTGACAGATGTATGACCACCTATTTCACCTGAAGAAGATCAATAGATTGAACGTTGAATCTAATATTTTTCTGATGTTCATTTCATCTTTATCGAACCCTGTAGGCTAGACAGGGCAAAAGCCTGAGGGACACTGCTCGATAACAGAAACGATCAGATAAAAGTGAATGAAGAGAAAATGAATGTGAAACCTATAATGGGCCCAGCCAGCCAACGTTTCCATTGTGGAGGTGAGTTAGTGTTTATTCATTCATTGCTCAGGCCCAGACTCTCCTCCTCAGGGGGCCCATCGCATCTCCAGACTATCATATCTTATTCATCGCCGTAGCAACAACTAATGAGCCCCTCTCAGAATTCTGATGCGTAGAGACAGAGGGAGTCTGGTCCTGGGCCTATAACTCAGCTGATCACTCCAACAACAGCAGCCACTCCCTTACTGTAGGTAAACACCTGAGCGTGTGTGTGTGTGTGTGTGTGTGTGTGTACGTGTGTGCCTGCATAAAAAAAAGGGAAGCGTGTGTGTGCATGCATGCATAGTAAAAAAAATCAATACGGGAAGACCCACCCAAAGTCCGTGTTGTCCTTGACTTCATTTATCATTCACTAAATACATGCTAAATACCACAACTAGCAGTGTTGCTAACAGGGTGGATTCATGATCACTACTGATTTGTTTAAGTAGGTCTAAGTCTAATTGCTCACTGGAAATACACCATAATATATACTAAGGACGGACATCATTGCATTTTGGAGACAATTACTGAAAAACAACTCAGCGTGTACAAATCTGTCTATGTGTGGTGCCGCTGTGTAGATTGTTTTATGAGTGTAATACGTTTACATGGAACTCTCTCTCTGCTAGCTATGCTAACGCTACAGTAGAAGGTTTACTCAGGGAGTGTGCCTCTAAATACAGGAGTTTGCTCAGCAAATGTCACTCAATCCCTGCTATACCAAATCCATCACGCTTTGTGGACAGTGAGTGTGTGTGTGTGTGTACGTGCGTGTGTGTGCCTGTGTATGCTTATTAAAACCGCCCAGGGACTCATCATCTATTGGCAGATTCAACCATCAATCAATTTGACAAGCGCTCTGTCTGCCACTGAGGCGAGACTGGGGTGGGTCACAGGCCTTACTTTATGACCACTGATGCGATTACTTCCTCCAGGAGAGAGAGAGAAAGACTGCAGTACAGTGCGATTAGCACAACACATACTAATATAGCACCAGGCTAACGCAATCAGTGAGGTGTACACACACACACCTATCGTAAGGTAATCACATCACAAAAACTGCAATATAATGTCACTGAGGTAATATGGCTAATTGATTAAGATAATCATCTATTATACTATAGATCTATTGGAGGGGGAGGGTGTGTGTGTGTGTGTGTGTGTGTGAGGGCGGTCTCTTCATGGTAACCTTTGAGGAGAAAGAGGCCTCAGAGATAAGTGTCTATGTCTCTTCATGGCTCAGGCCGTGAGGGAGGGCCAGAGAGAGATAGAATAGAGTAGGAGAGAAATCCCTGTTTGACATGAGGAGCTTCCTGGGGTGATTGGGAGGTTACCTTTGTGGCATAGACTCAAAAGGGGGGTTAATTAATTGGGGGGGGGGGGGGCACTCACCGACTTGGAGGACTCAAGGGATCCGGAGGAGAGGGTGTCTCGGCTGCTGCGGCTCTTGGAGCTGAGGTGTGGCGAGGAGGAGGGCGAGTCGTCGATGTAGGGCAGGAGGTCATGGTGGTGCCTCTGCTCCTCCTCACGGTCCGCATCGTAGCCGTAAGTGGGAGGGGTCCCCGTGAATGGACCATCTGTGATTGAGTACAGATAAAGCATTTGTGATCATGTTGCTGAGCATAAGGTTAATTATCCTAGTATAGATATTTCTGTTTCTAGTATAAATGCCTTCAAGGCCAGGAGGCTGAGTACAGTGGAGAGTTCTGGGAAGTGTGTGTGTAATGCTGAGGGGGGGGAGCATCCGTGTTAGAATGTCAGAGACCTTTTGGTCAACCCCCCCCCCCCCCCCCCCCACACACATACATACCCCCCACGAGAGCTGGCCATGGTTCATTTGTGCTGACTCAGACAGGATGGCTGTTTTACTCTCTCTCGCTCTGAAGTTTACACCACACAATAAGCATTCTGTCTGCATTTTCATGAGCTCAACCTCCCCCACTGGAAATGACAGCCATGGACTCTGAGTGGATGGTGGGGGGCCAAACAACAGACGGAATTTGAAAATAACAATAAATTCATACCATGATTACATTGAAACACGATCACATAGGTCTCTTTTTTTATTCGTGGGAATTCCTGGTGATTTTACAAACTAAAAGTGTTTTATTTGTATTTTTTACTAAACACTTTGGGGGGGCCCCCTGACTACTAGCAATCCTCATTAGCGTCACTCACCAACATTGGCAACAAACCTCAACTGCTCTCTCTCCATCTCTCTCCCACACCCCTCTGCCTGTCTGCCCACTATACCCAGAGCCTACTGCCCATAGTGACAGTGCCCGCTGCTGCCAACTGCCCTGTGGAGCATGCTGCCAGGCCATGCCAGGTGAGGCCAGGGGTACACTGAGGGACTGTCTGAGGATGGGCACACCGCCTGCCTGGTCCCCGCTCAGTGCCCCATGCCAGGGGCCATTAAAATATTTTCTCCATAGATAGACACTACCAAAGTATGCACCATAGGAACACGCAGAGTCTGCGTAGAGTAGAGGAGAGTAGTAATCTGTGATGGCTGTAGTCACAACCAATAATACTTACAAGACCATAAAAGACCACTACCGCCTCTGTATATATCTAACTGCTGCAAAGAGGAGATCTTGTGGTGGAGGGGCATAGAAGGAAAAAATGCATGTTAAGAGTAACAGAGTTGTTTATATTGATTTAGGACTAAAGTACAACCACTCAAGATTCATAGACTTACACAGTATATTCAGTATAAATGAACTAAGTCAACCTGTGAGGTATTTCCCTAAGCAAGTATACTGTACAGGTCTGTATTAGTGTGCTGTTTGTGTCTGGTATTATTCGAGACTAATTGTATGCCTAGGGCCTCAGAGCTTGTGTGTGTTTTCCAGTAAGGAGGGATTAGACATCATAAGGCAGTTATAGGTCAGATATGAGGGCACTGTGCTATAGGCACTGGCTCCAGGGAACATACAGTATCTCTAATCAGATCCATCCATAGACCGCTCCCTCCAGGCCCAGACAGTGTCTACAGTATAGTAACAGCCTCTCTCTCTCTCTCTCTCTCTCTCTCTCTCTCTCTCTCTCTCTCTCTCACACACACACACACACACACACAACAGGTCCTCCATTTGTCCGCTGGCAGGCTCCACAGCTGCAACCATACTCATTCTGGTCACACCCCGGCTCATGCTTCCTTCCAAACCTCCTCTCCTCTCTTATTCCCCCAACAGCCCCTGCTGGCGAGGAATCAATAATACACACACACACGCATAAGCCCTTGCCCCCATCTCTCCAACTCCCCAAAAGTCCACTAATTTTCTTCCTGGAGAGATTGGCAGAGGGCAGCACAACCATCGCAACGGGAAAAAAACACAGTTAAATCACATTGGCACGGAAACATATTTTTTTGGGGAAGAGGCCTTTTTCCCTACACAGGTGGAAAAGTACAATCACACAGGGAAATGGAAGTCTAGAGAAGTATCATGTGACCTGATTTCCAGAAAAACGTCTATTGACGTCAGCTCTAGGTAAATGTAATGTATAAAGGAAGTCTACCGAATGGTGTAAAACTCTGCATTGTGTTAATCACATACAGCACACTACCTTTGTGTGTGTGTGTGTGTGGAGACCTCTGCAACTAGAGTGTGACATGGCTGAGTCACACAACCCTCCTCTGCACTGCAGCCCTGGAACAGAACAAACACCCATTCTCTCTTTCTTTCCCTTCACCTGTTCCACCTCTATTTCTCCTCCACTTCTACACTCTTAGAAAAAGGGTTATTCGGCTGTCCCTATAGGAGAACCCCTTTTGGTTCCAGGTACAACACTTTTGGGTTCTATGTAGAACTCTCTATAGAAAGGTTTCTACATGGAACTCAAAAGGGTTCTACCTGGAATCAAAAAGGATACTTCAAACGGTTCTCCTATGAGGACAGCCAAATAACCTTTTTAGGTTCTAGATAGCACCTTTTTTTCTAAGCGTGTACCTCTCCTCCTCCAGCTGAAAGAGAGTCAGGCTGCAGTGCTGACCTCTGGGAAGGCCATCGGCTATCCATAATTCAAGTTGGAAACAAAGTGAAGAGACCTCTCCACAGACAGACATACTGTTCTCTTTCTCGTGTACGCACATTACTTCCAACACACATACGTCCCAACACGTGTACATTCATACACACACACTGAGTACACCAAATATTAGGAACACCTTCCTAATATTGGGTTGAACCCCCCCTTTTGCCCTCAGAACAGTCTCAATTCGTCGGGGCATGGACTCTACAAGGTATTGAAAGCGTTCTACTGGGATGCTGGCCCATGTTGACTCCAATGCTTCCCACAGTTGTGTCAAGTTGGTTGGATGTCCTTTGGGTGGTGGACCATTCTTGATACACACAGGAAACTGTTGAGTGTGAAAACCCCAGCAGCGCTGCAGTTCTTGACACACTCAAACTGGTGCGCCTGGCACCTACTACCATACCCCGTTCAAAGGCATTTAAATCTTTTGTCTTGCCCAATGTCACACATACACAATCCATGTCTCAATTGTCTCAAGGCTTAAAAATCCTTCTTTAACCTGTCTCCTCCCCTTCATCTACACTGATTGAAGTGGATTTAACAAGTGACATCAATAAGGGATCATAGCTTTCCCCTGGATCCAACTGGTCAGTCTATGTCATGGAAAGAGCAGGTGTTCTTAATGTTTTGTATACTCAGTGTATGTGAATTCAAGCGCTTTTCCTCATCTCTACTCTATGTGTGATTTAAAAGAGAAATCTTGCCTGTATATTGAAAAAAAGCTTGTAAGCCTATAAGGCAATAACCCCAAAACACACAGATGAAACTTTCAGTGCCTAAAACTCAGTCCCTGTGGTGTAGAGGTAGAAAGAGAGAGAGAGAGAGAAAGAGGAGGGGTTGAAGAGGGAGAGAGAGAGAGAGAGAGAGGGGGCTTTAGAGAGGGGGCAGGAGACTGCCGTGAGAAGCCTCAAGGAGAGAGAGGGCGCCCCGTTCCCTCTGAAATGTAACTGAAATCTCAGCTAAAGCATAGCGAGAGCGGGATCAAATGAAGTTGATCACAGCGTTGCCGTGGTAATCCCATGTTACCACGTAGTAAAATGCATGGTGGTTCTACCAGCACCTCAATATCAAGCAGAATGGAAAAACTCTGGGTGGGGCACTTCTTTATTGACCAAACCCAGGGGTGTGTCTCAAATGTCACCCCATTCCCTTGATAGTGAACTACTAGGCCCAAAGAGCTCTGGTCAAAAGTAGTGCACTATAAAGGGAACAGAGTGCCATTTGGGATGCAGACCAGGAGACAGGCAGGAGACTGAGAGGCGACACCATCACTGCTACTCTGATCTATCTCATTAACAGTAAGAGTCTGTGTCCCCCGAAACATAGTCATTTACAAATCACACCAATCCAAGTGCCTAATGTCTAGCCGTCTGTAGAATTCCCCATTCCATTTCCAAGATTATTAAACAAACGTATTATCATTCATAATTCAGCCAATTTGCTTCTCAGAGGTAATCTCTTTGAGAGGTGCATGGCGTGAATCTCGGTGGAAACGCACCAACGGCAGTGCCGGTTAAAATGCCTGGGAGTGGCGCCAAAGTGGGCAGTGCCTACCCCACAACACACAACACCCCCCTGGTGTGAAAATCATCTATTTTGTTTAAATGAGGAAGGGATGAGTCTGAAAACACAGGCACAGGGGGGAGACAGCCCTACAATCACACCAGGCAGCCACCCACCCACACACACACACACAGAGAGAGAGAGAAATGAGGACGTGAAGTACAATGTGTGTTTGTCACAGTGTGTAGAATGTTTTTCACATCAGTAGCCTATAGTGTTGAATGTGTGTGTAGCTATAAGCTGTTTCTTTTAAGGAGACAGACACATAAGAAACAATGAGAAGTATGACACCAGCCCTGTAGAGCAGGATTAGTTCAGTTCCATCAAGAGTCCTGACTGACCATCATCCTCTACAGTGACTCAAACAAACAGCCAGGAGTCCCATGATCTATGGCTGACACACTATCCTACCATGACTGACAGAATCATTCACATCAACTATCACACTCCCAGAGAGTACATAGACAGATTAAAGGACAAGGAATAAACTGCCATGATTAATTCCCATTACTGCTGTGTGTCTGTCTGTAGAAACACTGATGTTCCCGTGGTCCCACTGCTAGCAGACTGAGCCTGTGTGTGTGTGTGCTGTCACAGGGACAGAGGGGAATGCTTTCAATGATTGAGCCTTTCACAAATAGTTGGCCATGATTGAATCACAGATAATGAGGTTAGGGCTGAGGAAATTCCCCCCATCCTTTCTGAATCTAAAAACAGACACATGGGAGGAACACAGCACAGGGTTTTGGGAGGAACATGGGAGGAACACAGCACAGGGTTTTTTCTCACACCCCGACATCCACTGAGCTACCATCATGTTCAGCCATCAGTGGTATACTGATACCGTACAACTGGGGATCCGAACCAAGAAGAGTTATCTATCATTTGTAGCTTCCGGGTTCGGGCGGACGGACAGACGGACAGGCAGGCAGAGAGACAGATAGACAGACACACAGACAGACAGACACAGACAG